TTAAGGCTGATGATGTTGGGCTGAGCCCAATACCAGATGAGCCCCCTGTATATTAACTAGAAACAATAAAGTTTCCAATATAATGACAGTGTGTATCCTCCACAGTTAGGTCTCAGTGGGCTGGCCCTTGCTCAATACGAGGATTCTCTGTCAAAATAAATAAAAAAGCAGAAGTAACAAAAAAAAAACTAACAAACAAAAAAAAAAAACCCAGCCAGAGAAAAACACACCACAGCACAAAACTAATAAAGGCGATGTGGAGAGGGTCAACATTGCAAAACGCTGTTGTTTTATAATGCATTTGGAACCTCTGGAATGTTTGACAGGTCATGACATGGAATACTGACCTTGAGATTGAAACAGAAGTGCCATCTTTTTTTCTCCCCACCGAACCACTCATTTCTTTCAACTGCTAAGTTTAAGAGAGGGAGTGAAAAAGAGAAGAAAAGAAAGCTCATTTGGGAGGAGCTGGATCCCAGTTTCCCTTGGTTCTTGAAATGAAGTCAGTAAAAATTTCCTGCTGTTGTATTTTTTGAATGGTCAACAGTCACTTTGTTTCCTGCTTTTCCCAGAAGGGCAGATATTGCTTTCTGTTTTGTTTGGTTTTTTGTGTTTTGTTTTGTTTTTTTGGGAAGGTATATATGTTTATAAACTGAGATATAATTCTAATACCATAAAATTCACCTTTTTAAAGTGTGCAGTTCAGGGGTTTTTAGTATAGTCTCATAGTTGTACAACCATCACCAGTATATAATTCCAGAACATTTTCATCACCCCAAAAAGCAACGCTGCACCCAACAGCAGTCACTCTCCATTCTCCCCCTCTCCCGAGAACCTACAGCAAGGACCCATCGGTCGCTATGCATCTGCCTTGTCCTGGACATTTCATATAAATAGAATCATACAATAGGAGCTCTTTGGTGTCTGGTTCTTTCATGTAGCTTAATGTTTTCAAGGTTCATCATGTTACATCATGTATCAGTACTTCGTTTCTTTTTAGGGCTAAATAATGTTCCATAGTATAGAGCTACCATATTTTATCATCCATTCATCAGTTGATGGACATTTCTACTTTTTGATGGATTCACTTTTTTTGGATTTCCACATTTGGCTACTATGAATAATGCTGCTATGAATACTGACTTACAAGATTTTGTGTGGATGTAAGTTTTCAGTTCTGTTGGGTATATAACCAAGGAGTAGAATTGTTGGATCATGTGGTGACTCTATGTTTAACTTTTTGAGGAACTGCCAGACTTTTCCCAAAGTAGCTGCACCGTTTTACATTCCCACTAGCAAGATTTCTCTGCATCCTCACCAAAACTCGTCATTGTCTATGTTTTTGACTACTGTGTTTCCCCAAAAATAAGACCTAACTGGAAAATAGGCCCTACCATGATTTTTCAGGATGCTCTTAATACAAGCTCTACCCCAAACATAAGCGCCAGTTAAGACCATCAGGCAGACATGACTGTTTGAATAAATGTAGATTTTTACACATGAATAAATGAATAAATGTAGATTGTTGGAGCAAAAATTAATATAAGATCCGGTCTTATTCTCAGGAAAACACGGTATGTATATATTCCAGGGGGTGTGAAGTGATATCTCATTGTGGTTTTGATTTGCATTTCCCTAAAGACTAAGACTCTTCATATGCCTCTTGGCCCTTTGTACATCTTCTTTGGAGAAATGTCTATTCACATCATTCGTCCGTGTTTAATTGGGTTGTCTTTTAATTGTTGAGTTGTAACAGTTCTTTATATATTCTGGATACAAGTCCTTTATCAGATATATGATTTGCAAATAATTTCTCACATTTTATGGGTTGGGTTTTTACTTTTTTAAGACTGTCCTTTGAAGCACATGAGTTTTTAAGTTTTGGTGAAGTCCAATTGTTTTTTCTTTTGCTGTTTGTGCTTTTGGTGTCATAGACTACAAAGACACCACCTAACCTATGGTCATAAAGACTTATGCTTGCTTTCTTCTAAGAGTTTTATAACTTTTAGCTCTTACATTTGAGTCTTTGATCCATTTTGAATTAATACTTTTATATGAGTCCCACTTCCTTCTTTTGCCAGCTTTCTTTTTGTGACACTTTCAATCTGTTTACAAGACTGCAGCCCTCACATCATTTACCTCAGTAGAAATCTAGAGCTTCATAGTGAGAGAAACAGGTACTATTTTTAACAAAATGAAATTATTGGGGAGGCAGTACACAGGGCAGTGGTAAAGAGCACAATTTCTGAAGTCAGGCTCCATCTCAATTCTGTTACTAACAAGCTATGTGACTTTGAGTCAAGTTATTCTCTAGTCTATACTCAGATCCTCCTTATCTCATAATGAGGAGAGAAAAAATAGTGTCTTCAGAGAGTTGTAAGGATTATATGAGTTAATACAGCAAAGCCCTCCAACAGATCATGGCCCACTGTGGGCACCCAGTACACATTAGCCATTGTTATCAGTAAAGCTCCAATTATATTAAGCTAGGGTTTCCAAAGAAATATAGGTCTCAGAATAAGAGTGGAATGGAGCCTGAACGGATGATGCGGCTTCCAGGACAACATCTCTGATTCTCCCAGTGGTGTCCTCGCACCCCAGAGCCCCCAGCTGGGGATCACTTGATGTTGGTGGTCATCTTTCTCCTGGTACAAGTCACTCCCTGTTTAGTGTTCCACAGACTTGCAAGTTTACCTAAGACAAATTCTAAACAGGTGCCAAATTCCACCCCCAGCTCACACACACACACACACACACACACACACACACACACACACACACACACACAACAATTCAGCTTGAATTTATTCAAGTAATGCTCTACTCTCTTAGACGAAAAGTGCCTTTATAAGGGCAAAGTAGTCTTTCTCTATAGTGCTTTTGTTTCCAGGTCACTTTAGCCACAGTGCTAGAAATACTTTATAAACTTTGTCAGAGAACAGGGTTAATTCCCTCAGTTTCGATTTTTTTCAGGAATTTCCTACACATTTCATAAATTTCCAAAGAAACCATTCAATCCATGTAAACCCACCTCATAAACAACTGTAAGTCTCTCTTCCAAGGTCTTTCATTGTTTCTGTCAGTCCCTAATTATCCATGTTTGGAGCTGTCTCCATTCTAAGGTGATTTCCCATCTGTCAGAAAGCTCCTGGATTTTCCTCCTTACCCTCACAACAATCCCATCAATTAGTGTGTGCTTAGCAACTTCAAATTACTTTTAATATTAGCAATATGCAAAATATAATTAGATGGGAAGCCTTATGGGATCACATCATACACTGGGTGATTACTGAGCTCTGACCCTGTCTCAACAAACATCGGGATCTGTTCATCCAGAAGAATACTGCTTCCCTCTCACCTGGAAGGTGAGCTCCTCTGATTCCACAGTGCTGCTCGGGCTTAAAGCAGACTTCGGAATTCCNTTAATTGGGGAACAGTGTGTTTTTCCAGGACCCATCAGCTCCAAATCAAGTAGTTGTTTCAATCTAGTTATGAAGGGCGCAGCTCCGTGGACCATGTGGGGATTGAACCAGCAACCTTGGTGTTATGAGCACTGCGCTCTAACCAACTGAGCTAACTGGCCACCCTTGCCATCTCTAATTTCTGTGATTAATGGAATCTCAGTGTGTCTAGAAGCTTACGCACACACACACACACACACACACACACACACACACACACACACACAGCCACTGTGTTAGGCTGAAGCTATATTCGCTCATCACCAAGGGGTCCCATCAGGTGGAAGTGAAACCAGGAGCTCTTTTTTATAACATAAGACTCCCATTAAAAGGGTGTTTTATGGTTTTAAACAGACTTAGGAACAACTGTTTTAAATTCTGGAGACACTTAATGAAGCGAGCTTGTCTGAGGCTGTTTGAGAATCATCTAGCATCACCCTTGCCTTTTTCCTGCAAACTAAAGCCTCCAAGTAGGGAGAGCACACTGTGGAAGAGGTGGGAACTATCACCCTAGGAAAACAAAGGTGGATCCACTAAATGCAAATGAAGGTAGAGGGAATGTGAGCTTTGCTTCCTGGCCATTAAAAATAGTTTGGAGGATTTGTGCCAAAATTTGAAATAAAAGCATGCTCTTTCCTCCCTGCACCCTACAGACTTGCCTTTGAAGTCACATGTGCTCCACAGGGCACAGACAGAAACAAAATCAGGCCCTCCTTAAACGTTCTGATACGTGGTTCAGTATGAGACAGCGTCCTTCAAGCGTTTATAAAAAGTCATTTTCAGCTCCTTCTTCTTAGATAGGATGAGCTTTTGTCTTATGCCCTGGAATTTACATCCATGCTTCCCTCTGGTTACGCCTTCTGGTCCCAGGGACAGCCTCAGGGACTTGGCCCGCTTGTCTGGACCTGGCTCAGGCGCTGCCTGGATGGACAGGCTCCAGCTCCCGGCTTGTAGGGACTGGGCTGACTCTGCAGCCACCTGGCAAGACTTGGCCAGCTCTGCAGCCTTCTGCATGTCCCCAAACATCATTGGGGGGCCTCAGGCCCTCCTTAGCTCCCCCTTCTGCCTTACCCAGACTGTAGGATGAAATGCGATTATTCAGCTAGCCGTTCTTCTTGCCTGGTGCCACACATAGTAGGTGAGAAAATTATCACATTTGGAATCATAACAACCACACTACTAGTGTATTTCAAAACCAATCCACCTTCAAAATCAGGGACTTCCTGGGAAAGCCTCATCACAGACTTAAGCATAGAAATGTCTGTATCATTTGTTTTCTATCTAG